AAATCGATTATTTAAATGAGGTACTTTATTCGATTCAATATATTTTATTTTGTATATTTTTTATTAAAAATAATGTATTTTAAAGTTAAAAGCGTATTGCGAAATCGGAATTGAAAATCCTTCGTTTATAAAATGCCATGGTATAACAAAAAACGAAAACGGAAACTATGTTCTTGTATTAAAATACGCAACAATGGGCTCTCTACGTCAGAATCTTGGAAATATATCGAAAATGGAATGGAATGATAAATTAAACTTGTTATTTTGCATATCTTCTGACCTTAAGGCAATTCATTCCCAAGGAATTGTTCATCGAGATCTGCACAGTGGTAACATATTGCAAGATAACTTACATAGTGCATACATTGCGGACTTGGGTCTTTCTGTCCAATATTTAAAACAAAAGGATGGTGAAGTTTATGGGATTTTACCTTACATTGCTCCAGAAGTTCTAAATAGAAAACAATCTACTACAGCCTCTGATATTTATTCTTTTGGTATAATCATGTGGGAAATATTATATGCTAAATCTGTATTATGTTATTATAAATTAGATGATGTTTTGGGCCCAACGATAGAAATACTTAATGGTTACAGACCGCCAATTAACGAAGAATCTCCACAGTGTTATGTGAACTTGATGGAAAAATGTTGGGATAAAGATCCAAAAAACCGTCCATCAGCAGAAGAGCTCTGCAAAGTTTTTAAAAAATGGCAAGATGACGAACAGATTCTTACAGAGCTAAACAAATTCAAACCATTGATACAATTTTACATACATTTGATTAAATCATTTTTAAATGAAGATCCTGAAAACCCACCAACTACAGCAGAACTACATGAATTTTTAAAAAGAAGGCCAGACTATGAACATATCCTTTTAGAACTAAAAAAATCCAACCTAACAATACCTGAATCTATTAGAATATCAGATGAAGATGCTTTTAGTAGAAGCAAGTTAATTAACTCAAATTTTCATTATTCAACAATTAGTTTTTCAGATTTTCAATAATTGCGACTAGTGCTCCGATCGGGTTAACCCGAACAACCCGAAACCAACCCGGTTATAGCAAATCTATTAGATGGGTCATGACCCATATAGTAAATCTATTATAATCGGGTTGGTTTCGGGTCAACCCGATCGGAGCACTAATTGCGACAATAATTAAATAACCGTTATATTCCTTTATTTTCGAAAATAGAAGCATTAAAAATGAAAGTTTTTTTTCATATCTTAAAATTTTTATCAACATCTATAATCGGGTTGAGTGTATAAATTTTTTATATATAAAAATTTTTTCAAAAAAGACATTCCCGAGTTATGTCATGGGTCACTACGTCCAACCCTAATCAGTAAAAATGATAGTTTAGTACTAATAAAATTTTTTATACTTTAGCTTATACTGTAACTGTAAAAAGGATACATTATCACTAACCCTATTCGTATCGTTGCTTAATTTGATTCGAGTATTATTCTGATTATTAATAACATAAAACTTATAAAGTCGCGATTTTTAAAAGAGAAATAATTATGATCTTTTTTATTTATTCGAATTACTCAGAGTTTATTTAGTCATTATAAACATTATACAAAAGTTGACCATTTTAAATGCATTTATATTTAAATTCTTATTCAGATTCAATATATAAAATGTATTTACTTTCAAGTTTGATTTTTAAATATAAGACATACCCTAAACTCAAAGTCTTTGATATTAACACTGTATAATTTACAGTCGTACTCCTTTATAATCACAGTTTTTTTTTTATACAAAAAAATTTGTGATTATAAAAATTTTATTATGATGGGCTTATATAAAATGAATTTTTACAAAATTTAAGGTATTTATATTGACAGAATACGAAGATCTTGATATTGACGGTAATATAAAAACGTTATTAGACAATGATAAATACCAAATAGCTTGGATTTCACACGAGTTTGAAAACATTAGAATAAAAGAAGTGGTTTTGCAACTGCATATAGTGCGACACGGACAATATATCTAAACTCTATCTGTCACACTTAAGGAATTTTATGAAAACGATTATTTAATTAGGTACTTTATTTAATTCAATATATTTTACTTTGTATATTTTTTATTAAAAATAATGTTTTTTAAAGTTAAAAACGTATTGCGAAATCAGAATTGAAAATCCTTCGTTTATAAAATGCCATGGCATAACAAGAAACGAAAAACGGAAACTATGTTCTTGATTAAATACGCAGCAATGAGTTCTTTGGTAAAAATCTTGGAAATATATCGAAAATGGAATGTAATGATAAATTAAAGTTGTTATTTTGCATCTCTTCTTACCTTAAGGCAATTCATTCCCAAAGAATTGTTCATCGAGATCTGCGAAACGGTAACATTCCTTAGCGTTAGTCGTCAAAGTCTTTGTATGTGAGTTTATGGTTTATGTTTACTGTAGGTATGTCTTAACATAATAAAATGTGTTTGGTATGTAAACTATAAGAATTCTATTTAACATCTCGATTAATCGTAACATCCTATTTACCTGTGATGTTCTGTTTAAAAATATATTATTTTAGATTTGTGTGAGTTCTGGCGCAGGTCTTCTTCCAGTGTAAATCCACGTGGTGGAATGCTGTCGCTCTTTAGTTTTCGGCTGCTCACATATGTAGACCGATTTGTTTTTTCGTACCACGTTTTTTCCTTGGAAATTTTGCTTTTTAATTATTTTAAGCTTTACTGTTATATCATATAGACCTTTACTTGTTACTTCTATTTTAGGTAACTTATTTGCTCTCTTGTTATAATTACGTTAAAATTAATCTACGGGATTAATTGCCGCAATTTTTTTTTTTTTTTTGAAAAGTCACAATTCGCTATCGCATTACGGCATATATATGCACACACTTACATATATAATAGTACGTATTAAGTTTTACAGTACGATGCAAAAAAAAGAAAAAGAAATTTGGTTTACTATACACAGACGTCTGTGCACATGAAAACACATATAATGTATTATTAATAGTTCTTATCGATCGGTCATAAAAAATTCTTCATGCAAACAAGTTTTCTCTATAAACTACTCTACCTTAAAAAGGGAAACTCTAGTACAAACCCTAAGCATCAAAAAAGGTTCACCAGTAAAATTTTAAGTTATTAACGATGCATAATATCTAAATTATTTTGAGCGTCCTCTGAATTTTTGAGAAAAATCGCAAATAGGCTTATAAAAATAAGTGAAATCACAAAATATGATGTTGATTATTCTTAAATTTTGGCCTGAATTAGGGTCTGTATCATTATAATGCCAGCTGGTTTTATGTAGATCTGGCTATGTCGTAGAATTTTTCATTTATCCTAGAGGGAATTGGTATTTTGTTACTGTAGAAAATCATCGATATTGTTCTTGATCACTCGAGAGAAGATAGAATTTTTCTCCAAAAAAAAAAAGACTAAATTTAAACAAAATCGAGAAATTGAATTAAATTAAAGGGGTTTCTATTCAAATAAACGAATTAAGACAATAGACCGATTATTAAACAATTGATTTATTCTAATTTATTATTATTATTATGAAAATATTAACCATTTTCTGCAAATGTACATTTCGCTCTAAGTACGTATATCTCATGCTCAATGACTATATTGATTTTATACGATATCAAACACATTATTATCGCTCTTTTCAAATTACTGTGATCAGCAAATGATCAACCATCACCTAGAAATCATTAAAATTTCCCAAATTCAAGGCTTTTTTTGCGAATAATCTAAATTTCTTGCTTACAAGTAAAAATTTCCAAGATTCCTCTTTTATTTCCACCTTTCAGATACTACATCTAGCAATATACAAGAGCTTGTTGTCTGTATAACCGAATAATTGTAGAAATCTCAAGCTTGTTTTTTCGAATAAATGATAATACTTGATTTTTTAATTACCATATATATTACACAATACACTTACATAATTCTTTGAAACTACGTAGATTGATCAGTTTTTTTTTTTTTTTTTTTTTTTTTTTTTTTTTTTTTTTTTTTTTTTTTTTTTTTTTTTATGTTTTTTTTTTTTTTTTTTTTTTTTTTTTTTTTTTTTTTTTTTTTTTTTTTTTTTTTTTTTTTTTTTTTTTTAAGTTTTTTTTTTCGATTTTTTTTTTTAAGTTTTTTTTTTGATTTTTTTTGAATTTTTTTTTTTATTTTTTTTGTAAGTTTTTTTTTTGATTTTTTTTTTTAAGTTTTTTTTTCGATTTTTTTTTCGATTTTTTTTTTTTTTTAAGTTTTTTTTTTCTTATTTAAGTTGTTTTTTTAGGATAGTCTAACTTGTAGTTGTGTGTTTGAGGGTTGAGGCTTTGGGGACTTTTAGGGACAGGATTATTAGGGTGGGATTTGGGATGTAAATAGGGCTTACATACGGGCCCGCCTCATGTTAGTTTTTACACTGCAAATAAAAATCATGTGATTGCCTCCAGTTGGGCAATCCTCATGTTAATCCGCGACAATACAGCAATAATTATCATGATCTATAAATTTTTTGGGTGGCGATTTACGAATTTTGGCCAGAATTAAGAAATTTTGAAGATCTGTCAAAACATCATCTCATTGGATAATTTCTGTTGTTGTTACACAGAAAATCTCATCTGATTTAAATACACGAATTTTTACTCAGAGATGTAAACAACAGTTTTTGTACTGTTCTGCTCTTCCGAAGATATGTTGTTTCGCCTTCACAAGCAAATAGTTTCCTGTCTTCGTCGAGTTACATTGTGTTCGCTTGGCAGTGTTATCTAAATAGCCTGTCTTTTCCTCCCTCTTTTGACGTATCTTAAAATTTCTTCTCTTTCTCACCTTCCGAATAATAATTAGAGAAGATAAATCGAACCTCGTTATAACTTATTGTGTCTATGATGATAATTTTAATAGTGCCTTTGAGGCATGTATGTATAAAGTCTGAGACATGAATTTATAGTTTTTAATGAGGTCGAAATAGTGACTTAAATCTCGTGTTTTTTTTTTTTTTTTTAATCTCTATCTCATCGTTGTTGGTGTTTAAGAAGTTTGGTGAGTTTGTTTTTTTCTCTTTGTTTTCTTGCATTTCTTTTCTCGCTTTTACTCATATAATTCATCAACGCCGACGTCATCGTTTCTGTAATTTTGAAATTCTTGAGGGCTTTCTCTTCTCCAAATCACAAGCAAAGACAATCAATAATTGAAAATGAAAAGTATTTTTTCATACTAATAGTCGAAGCGCGTTATTATTTTTTTGGGTTCGAAGTTGTGTTGTTTTTCTAAGTCCAAAGAGGTGAGCATTGCTCTCTGAACGTGAACTGTTTAACATTGTGAAGGTGAGAGAGAGAAGAAATTTTAAAGAAGACACAACACACCTTCCTATCCCTCTTGTTGGTACGTCAAAAGAGGGAGGAAAAGACGGGCTATTTGGATAACGCTGCCAAGCGAACACTAAGTGAAGACAGGTAGCTGTTTGCTTGTGAAGGCAAACAGCATATCTTCGGAGAAAAAAACGCAAAACGCCAGTCAGCAAAGCCGAAGAGCGGAACAGTACAATGACTGTTGTTTACATCCGTGAGAAAAAATTCGTGTTTTAAACCAGATGAGAATTTCTGTGTAACCACAACAAAATTATCCAATGGGATGATGTTTTTGACAGATCTTCAAAATTTCTTAATTCTGGCCAAAATTCGTAAAAATCGCCACCCAAAAAATTTGCAGAACATGTGATTTGAATGATGATTTTATATATCATAAAAAATTTTTCATCTTTTATGCGAAGTGTAGTAATATACAAGCCAAATGAGGCTTTTATCACTAATTACAAGACCTGGATAACGAAATCATAACACATTTTGGCCGTAAAACAATATCGTATAGTTCCAAAAATAAGCACCTTCCAGTTTAGTTATATCCGAAAATAAGCACCCCTCAAAAATTGGCGAATGGTATACAAAAAACTAGAAACTGAGCCAAAACTTCGATAAGGTCATAATCTTGGCAGGTTAGCCCGCATTAGCCATAGTTCCGGTTAATTTTTTATTGGAACCTAGCATGACCACCAAAATCAGTTACATAATCGCTGTTTAAAATCATCTTCCGAAAATTTGCAATAGTATATTAGTCATTTTATGACGATA